TAATCTTGTCAACCTCATCAATATAACCTCATCACAGTGATAGAATTTATAACACATGAGGAGATCACATATAATCTCATCATAGTGGTAGAGTTTACAAACACATAAGGAAATCACATCAGATAATACAATCATACAATACTGGGAATCATGACCTAGCCAAGTTGCTACCCACATTTTTGGGGGGACACAATTCAATCCATGACAATCATGTTGTACAACCATCACCCATAATCGTTGTCAAATTTTCCATCACAAAGGTGATTTATTTTGATATTTAAAACACTTCATAAGAGTCTCTGGAAAATCTAAAATCATCCTGCTGACCTAATATGTTGTACTATCATCATTTGGAAAAATATAAAGCTTGGATTATGTATTAGAAAAATCTCATTACATGGAAAACTTTTTTTCTCTTGCCTGTAGTAAAGGAAATGGTCCTGAGAGTGCTTTAGTTGGTCCCATCTCAACCCCAAGAGACGAACGCAAAGATGAAGGCACTAAGATGCTAGTATGTGGCGTGTAACTTCAATAACCCAATCAGATAACACATTTGGCATATTCAAACCACTCTTTGAATCACTGGTGGTTAGTTAATCATTTGATTAGTTTCCCTAAAGCAAAGCCATTCCAGTTGTTACAATTATGTGGAGGTTAATAATCAGAGCTGCCTCTTGAGGATCACCCCCAATATGACTGTGAGGAAAGCATCATCTGTCCTGATGAGTAATCCCGTGACCATACTTCATCCTGGCTGCAAGTCCACAGGTACTGGGGCACAGCTTGGGTGCTACTAAAAATAACAAAGGTTTCAGGGCTGGAAACATTGTCAACCACACTGTCATAGCCATCTATGGCTCCAGGACTCAATGGTGGGGGGACAATATTTAACTGACAACTCTGGCAGAAGGACCCTGTTAGAACGTCAGCCTCAAACACATAGATCAGCTTATCAGTGGCAGGGGTTTTCCTGATCTGGTCTGCTAGGTTTTTGAGGTTCTTGGTGAAGTATATGCCAGCTCCATATCTTGACTCTGATAAAAGAAAAAAAAAAAAAAACACTATTATGATCTGGCAAATCATATTATGTATTTGGGTACTAAATGTGTATTATCTCTAAGGTCCTCCAAATAATTGCCTCCTCCTGGTCCCAAGTCCCTGTGTCTGTAACAGACACACAAAGATGTTCTCTTGAGGCAAATTATCATTGATTATCATCAACATAATAATAGCTTACATCTGACTACACCATTAGACTTTCTAGAGAAATCTATGGTTTTCAAAGCACTTTTACAGTGATTATCTTCAGTTAATCTGTGATTTGGGTACTGTCTCCACTTAAGAGATGACAGATGTGAGGTTCATAAAGATTGTGACTCAAGTCAACATTATCAACTAAGCTGCTGACAAAGACAGCATAATGGAGAGAAGGTTCTATTTCTCTTAGAACAACGCTCGACTTTTACCTGCTACAAATAGGGGCATCTCTAGAACTCTTGAGAATAGGGTTAATGCAATTAGCACCTAATAAGAGAAGGCAGAGTGTCTCCCAAACTCATGGGCAGCATATCAAGAAAAGATGTCAAAATAAAGGGAATGTTAAGCGTGTAAAAGTGGTGTCAGTGTGCACGCTGCAATGTTTAGGAAGAGAGACTCTGGATCTGGGGAACATCCATATTCTAGTCACTAGAGGGGCATTCTTTATTGTGGGGCAGGGATAAGTCACCAGTTCTCACCATGGCCTAGCAAAAACCCCACCAAGAATCTCCACATGCTTTTCATCTAGGTGCATGCTCACCAAGCAATGTTCCACCCATCAAGCATTCTGGGTACTGTGACACCAAGGAAGGAGTATCCTAGAGTCAGACACAAGTATTCCAGCCACTGGAAATAAACATTCTACATTCTGGCATAAATAGTTGTGATCTGTCTTATCTTCTCTAGAGTACTAAGAATATCCAAGAGGCTGAGGGTCAAACTCTGGACCGCAAGGTAATCCTTGTTCAATGCTCTTCCTACCTCTACTTAGAAGAGGAAAACTAAAAACTTCCTTGATGCCATATTCTTATTCCTTTCTTCCTTTTTTCCTTCCTTCTTTCCTCCCTCCCTCTTTCTTTACATTTACTCAGGACTTAACCAAACACTGTTTCAGGCTGTAGAGCAGCACTAAAAATAGAAGTGTAACGTGGGACACATAGGTACTTTAAAATTTTGTAGTAGTCATGTTATAGTAAAAAGAAATAGGTAAAATTAATTTTTTTATTTAACCCAATTATTCAAAATATTATCATTTCAACATGTAATCAATATAAAAAGTAATTCAAGAGGTATTTTTCATTATTTTCTTTTGAAGTAAGTCTTCAAAATCCAGTGTGTATGTTACACTTATAGCACATCTCTACTTGGATTAGCCATATTTTAAGTGCTCAATAACCACATGTGGCTAGTGGCTCCCATGTTGGACAGTGCAGCACTAGAGCTTCAAAAATGACTAAGACATGATCCCTGTCCTCAGAAGTTCAAAGGGAACGCCACATATTAAACAGATAATATAGTACAATTTTATGTAGCAAGGGAAAATTTTGAGATAAAAATCAATGATTTTCTTTCCTGGGAGTTTCTTCTAGCCCTTTGTTCCTCCACCTATTAAGCTTTTGCTACTTATTACCTCAGAAAATGTGTGTGTGTGTGAGAGAGAGAGAGAGAGAGAGTGTGTGTGAGAGAGAGAGATCATTACTTCTAATTCACAGCAGAGAATATGGTCTTCAGAGTCAGGCTTTCTGAGAGAGAAAAAGGGTTTTGTAAGCCACATGGCTAGAACACAAAGTTTATACCATAAAATGACAGAGGAAGGAAGAAAAATAGTTTTCTCAGCTCAAGGCAGATAAAGGTTATTCTAGTTGATGGGAAGAGACGAATTAGAGAGGATGTGACTAGAGCTCTTGGGGACACTGAGAAGGGCTCACTTTGCTGCGCCCCCTCCCCTCCTGCAGAGAGCCGTGGGGGTCAAGATGAGGTGGAACAACAGACATCTCAGAAAAATAGGCAGGGCTCCCAAAGCAGAAGGGACCGTTGCCTGTCTCTGCTGGGAGCAGCTTCTCCATGTAGCCTGCTTCCTAAGCAGAGAGTAGAAATAACTGAGGAAGATGTCCAGGAAAACAGGCTAGTACTGTCCTCAAAGACCCCATATCTCAGTTTATAGGATGTACACAAAAATTTCCTGTGCTGCAGGAGGGGTACAGACATGGTCTGGAAAGGGATTCCTTTGGCATGAAAACAACACAGAATGGCCTGTGTAGACCCTACATAGAAGGAAAGGGCACAGGAAATTTAAGCACAGGTGGGTGCTAGTGACCAAAGCCCAGAGTGACTTATCTAGCAAGTGGACAGAGGACAGATGGGGGCAAAGGACAAATGAAGCCCATGAAGCAGACCACTATTACTTCAATGCGTTCCCACCAGCTAGATCACCCTCAGGGAGAAGGGGAGAAAAAGGGGTGAAATCTTCTAGGAACTGAGTTTAAATCTGAAGGCACTAAGAAGATTCTGAAAAGGACTGAGTTCACCTTGTACTGTCAAAATGGAGTTTTCCATATCTGTGGACATGGGAGCATAAGAGCTATGTAAAGTTCTGTTATAGAGCCATAAAGAAAACAAGTCCCACTCCTGAGTTTTGTGGGACTGTAAATTTTTGTACTTGTTATAGATGCTGTAACAAAAGAACGCAAGAAGTGCAGGAGCACAGAGGAAGAAGCAACTCACTGGGCCTGCAGAAGTAGGGGAAGGTGTCAACTGGGAGATGCCATTTGAGCTGTGTCTTGCAGAAAGAATAGGAGTTTGCAGGCTAAAAAGAGTTAGGAGGACAAGCATTGCAGGCAAAGGGAACAGTAAATATAAAGACATAGAGGCATGAAAGTATATAGCATGTTTAGGGAACTTTATAAAGCTCATGGCTAGAGTGCTGAGAAACATAGTGGGTGATTAGGCTGGAGAAATAACATGTAGCTAGAACCTTATCTGCTTTGCTAAGGAGTTTGGTTTTTATCTTGTAGGCAACTGGGAATAGAGATACAAAGCAAAAATGAATTTTCTAGCATGATAATTCTGGTGGCAGAGTAAAGGATAGATATAGATAGGGATGAGTTCTGAGGGAGGGAAAGGACCAGGTAGTAGTCTAAGCCTAGGGGAAGATGAAGTAAGGAAGTGGAAATAGAGAGGTGAAGCTAGGCTGAGACCCTATGAGAATCAATAGGACAGGGTAACTGCCTGGATATAGAAGGGGAGGAATGATAACAAAGTTTCAAGCTTAGGAGACCTGGTAGGTAGATTGTGATGATACTAATCAGGTTAGGGAGTGTCAGAAAAAATAGAGCATATTTCTTAGAGAAAAGCATGGTAAAGAAAAGAGGAGTTGACTTGGAGGTATGCTGAATTTCAGGGCCTGTGAGACATCTAGGTGAAGATGTCCAAAAGACTGTCAGAAATACGGACTTATAAGTCAAAAGACTACCACCCATCTGTCAGTTTGTCATACTGTGGTGGTCTGCATGTTGCTATGATGTTGGAATCTATGCCACTGTCACTTCAGATACCAGCAGGGTCACCCCTAGTAGCCAGGTTTCAGTGGAGCTTCCAGACTAACACAGACTAGAAGAAAGACCTGGTGATCTACTTCCAAAAATTAGCCAATGAAAATCTATGGATCACAAGAGAACATTGTCCGACTCGCTTGCTTTGGACACACCATTAGGAGGTATCAATCACTGGAGGAGAACATCATATTTGGTGAAGTAGAGGACCAGTGAAGCCATGGGAGACCCTCAGTGAGACAGACTGGCCCCATAGATGCAATGATGCACCTGAACATGCTGGTGATTATCAGGATGATGCAGGACTGGGTAACATTTTGTTCTGTTGTACATAAGGTCACATGAATGGGAGTTGACTAGATGGCAGCTCACAACAAGAACTTGGGAGAGAGGCAAGGGGGTTCAAGTTACAAATTTGGAAGTCACCATCATGGAGGAGTTGAAGCCATGGGAATAAGTACAATCACCCAGGGGTAGATTGTAGAGGGAAAAACGTGTCCGTTAGAACTCAGGAAAACATCAATATTTAGAGGATGTATAAGAGATTAACTCACTAGATTATAAATTATGAGGTCAGGAATGCGATATGTTTTGCTTACTGCTGTATCCCTAGCACCCAGCACAGAACCTGGCCCATAGAATGTGCTCAATAAATACTTGTGGAATGAATGAATGAACCTGATAAAGAAACAGACTTTGTAGGCTCCTTCTTGCTACATTCAGTCAAGACCTACAGGCAAGGGGTAACTCAGAACAGAACTGGTTAGACTGCAGCAGAGATATAAAAAACAAAGCTTTTTTAACAGAGGGCCACTCTGGCTATGGACATCCATCTAAATTGACTGAGAGTCTCATAATTTGTAACCTTGCAGGGCTAAAAAAGCTAAAAGTGTTTGCACTCCAAATGAAGAATAGGTAAAAACAGGTTGCAAAACAGCTTCAGTGATAGATAAGTTTGTGTCTCCTGGGTTTCTCAAGCACCTTCAGTTAAGAGGTCTTACCACCCAGAGAGATGAGCCCATGGCACAGGTCACATTAAGAGAAGTGTCTCCAAATTGAGTCTATAGTCTGAATTGCCTCAAGGTAGGAGTGTTAAGCTAAGGGCTAGGGAGATGGGCAGAGCACAGAGGCCAGTAGGTAAAAGACTAGAATCGTAAGGCTTAAAGACTATGTAGAGACAGGATCTTGGTGGAGTTACTGAAGACACAAACTTTGACCAGAAGAAATAGGCCCCATACCTACTGTGTTTTTAAAGGAACTATATTGCTGAAAGAAGCCTGGTGGCACACTGGTTAAAGCACATGGCTGCTAACCAAAGGGTCGGTGGTTCGAACCCACCAGCTGATCCTCAGAAGAAAGATGTGGCAGTCTGCTTCTGTAAAGATTTATAGCCTTGGGGTTGCTATGAATCGGATTCAACTCATCAGCAGTGGGCTTGGTTTGGTTTTGGTATTGCTGAGGAAACCACAAGCCTGGCTGTCAATAGTCTCTGAGGTTATACATGGACCCCTGGGAGTGCATCAGCAGGCCATGGGGTTCTAGAGCATCTTCCCTTGGCCTACTTCAGAAATGATCAAAGGTGGCAATACCTGAGATTTTCCCAGAGGGCAAAACCAGGGCCTTACTCCACTGCCAGAATAGGATGTGATGAGTGGCATGGGCCAGCGAGTACAGTGACTGTTGAGTGTTTTCCTTCTCCCCTTTCAGAATGGGAGTTTTTATTGCAGTTTTCCTTATCATTATATAATGTGTGTGTTTGGAGCAATACCTTGCCTTTAAGCTTCAAGATAGAGAGGACTACCTGGACTTGAGGCTAATGATGGGCCTAGATGGAACTTTGAGACTGTCTTCCATGGAAAGATGGTGTGTGTCTTAGATGTTTCAGGCAAAAAGATGTGTATAGATGTTGGGTAGGCAGTTAGCAGTGTCTGCCACAGTGACTGAAAGGAGAGCACTCGCTGGAGTTGGAAAATAGGACAGTGATGATCTTAGCAAGAGTGGTTTAACTAGAGGGGGCGTGCAGAGGAGCCAGTCACAACGGCTTCAGAAACAAATAAAGATGTGGATTCTTAAGACTGCCAATGAAGGAACCAAAGTGATCATAACTTTCCCAGTTACACTCAAAGACTTCTTGGTGGGAATTCATTTATCTGTTTTTACCCCCAGATCGTCTATGTTCAATTTTTACCCCAGGTATCACCTATGCTCTCTCTGGGGTAAAAAGAAGATGATTTCCAGACCCTTTGCTTTCTAGAAACCAAGACTATCAGAGTTGCCTCCACAGCAAGGATCAGGCTACATATTTTCAAAGGCAAAGATAAAGAGCTATGTATTTAATGGACCAGGCAAAATCAAGCTACACTGCTAGGCAACCTCCCTCCTCCCCCATGATTCTTCCTAAAGTTCTCAGCTGCCTTTGGAGAGATCTAAAGGCAGAATGTTCTCATTGTTGGGTGAAGAGGAAAGGCGACAATATAGCAATGAAGTACACAATACTTTTTGACAACTGAAAAGAGACATGGAAGCTACAATCCACTCCCATGGCTGAGAAGGCTTTTAAAATGTTATTGACTTCACCTGCTGGATGATACCCAATTCATTCATTATCTGGCTGCAGGAAATGAAGAGGATAGAAAAGACTAACTTCATTAAATTCAGGAAATTTAAGGGATGAAGATGGTTCAGTGGTGTTGATAGTAATTTTGGTGAAAGATAACTAAGGAAAAAAAAAAAAAACCACTCCAAGGAAGGTGCTCCCTGCAGATAGAACACAGCAACACAGAAAGGAGAAAAACAGTGACCTACAGATCTTATTGCTCACACTTTCATCAAAATAAAACCCAGCATCAACAAACGATATAAAGGAAAAATAAAAAATACGATCCTTTCCAAATGACTTCACCTCTAAATCTCAGTTGCAAATAATCCCCTCCCCACAGCAACAAACGTTATTAGTGGTGAGTCATCTGTTGATGTCTGCGCACCAGTTCCCACATAGAGAGCCCTGACTGTGAGGGGCTGACACCTACCGCAGGGCATTTGGTACATTCTTTGAAAGCCAACTCTGCAGACCATATTGCAGAACTGGTGTGGGACTCGATGAAACAATCCGTGGCTCACAAGTACATTACGTGACCTCCCTGCCATCATTTTCTTCTTTGCTTGGAAGACAGTATTCAGAACCTCATTGTTTATCTTCTCTACCTGTAACCCAAGGAAATGAAAACGGATAAAGAGATTGGAGAACTGCTAATCAAACTGCCTGTTACACTGCTTCAAAAGTAAAGGTGCTTCCGTGCAAATTCCTTTGCATACAATTTGCTTTTCATATAAAGTCATATAGGAGTCTCTCCTTTCCCCAGTCCTTGCCCACTTTGGCTTCTATCTCTTCAAAGCTCCCGATCCAGTCCCTTCTTTGATAAATTCATTTAATAAAAAGTCCAAGAGCAATCTCTATGTACTAGGCACTGGTAATGAAATCGTCAACAGGACATCTGCCCTCGTAGTGCTCACAGTTTAGTGAAGGATAAAAATGGGTAAACAATTATAATACAGTATGATAAATGCTATTCCATTTATTTTATTTTGCTCTAAGATAGGCAGATAGCTCTTTCCTGGGTCTTATATGTGCCCTGCTGTACATCCTGACATCATTTCTACCTCCTGATTCCACCTATACCCCTTTTGCCTGCACTTCCCTGCCCTCCTTCCAGTTTTATTCCTAAGATTCCAAGCCAACAAGCAGCTAGCTCAGAATATCAGCAGGTGAGCTTTTCTTGTAGCCACAGAACCAAGTTAATGAATAGACAGATGAGTCAGATCCTCCCCTTAATTAGGCATACCTTTATAACCTGAAAACCACACTTTTCAAACTGTTTCTTTTTATCCTGAAGTGCTTGAGTTGAAAACATTACAGGAAATTTCACACGATTGCTATTTCCTTTCATTTCATCCTGCTTTTTTGGTTGCTGACCAGTCCATTGTCCTAAAAATGAGTAACATAAAAGTTTGCCTTAATTTTCTGTGAGAGGGGAAAGATTTGCAAAGAAAGTTGATGAAGCAAATTCTAGAAAGTTGGAGGAAGAGATTAGCTAGTTTAAATTGTATGCCTCACACAGCTTAGGACATGCAAGGAGAACTGCCATACTGTGAGAAGTCAGGATAAAACAGAGAGGTAGTAAATTAGTTCTCAGGTGGTTTGGATTATGAGGCTGAGGAGATGTGAGGAAAAAAAGTATTAATAGATCCCCCAATGCTGTAATGATAATATATAATCGTGTTGCTCATTCATAATGTTTCTATTTCTACTCAGGATGCCTATTAGTAAAAAGAGATAAGCGTAAGAAGACATTAAGGAATGACAGAAAACACTATGATATTTAACACTTCAAGGTTTTCAATGAGATGTCACGCTAGTGTCTCATTTGATCATTATAACACCCACCACTGAAATAACTAACACAATTTTACAAGTAAGAAAAGTGAAAACTCAGAGAAGTTAAGTGATTTGCCCAATATCACATAGCTAGTAAATAGATCCAAAATCATAAGCCTGTCTTTCACCAATGCTTTCTGTAAGGGGGGAAGGCAGAATACTTGGTACATATATCACTCATAAGGCAGAATGGTTGGTACTTATATTACCCACATACATACATGCATACCCATACCTGATAGAAGGAACAGTTAACAGAGCTGACTTTACTAACTTAATAGAAAGCTACTCACCTAATAAGCTCCAAAGATCTTGCTCCCTTCTTTTTGCCATTTCCTCCTGAATGTCACACAGCACATGTTCAATCTTCATAACCACCTCAATGAGGTCAGCTCGGGCTCCTTTAATCTCTAACTTTGCCTTTCCTGAATCGATAATCTCTGAGATGGAGACACTTGAGGTTTTCTGAAGCCGAGACAAAATGTCATGTTCCTTTGTCCCAAGGTAGAAGATGTGATTATTCTCAATGACGTGGTGCCCCTGGAGTTTCAGCAGCCTGTGGATCCATGCTTCCGCCTCCCTCATCTTTTCCATGTTGGATCCCATCAGATTGATGGCAGGAGAATTAGCTTTGAGCCCATTTTCTCTTTTCTCCTCTCTAGTCCACTGGGAGACTGGAACAAGTGTCATAAGCAACCACAGAAGTCAGGTTTTAAAACAGTGCAGAAGAAAACACCGTAACTAGTGTTTACCCGGAGACTACTGTCACCACTGTCAGCAATCAACACCAAAAAACCAAACCCATTGCCATCAAGTTGATTCCAACTCATAGCAACCCTATGGGACAGAGTAGAACTGCCCTGCCCCGTAGGGTTTCCAAGGAGCGGCTGGTGGATTCAACCTGCCGACCTGTTGGTTAGCAGCCACTGTGCCACCAAAGCTTTGTCATGTCTTGCCCTTTGCTGTGTTGCATCTGTCAGTTCACAAATGAGTTCACCTGTGACCTCATCCTGGATGTTAACCAACTATTATTTCCTGATGAATAGGATTTTCCTTAACCTCTTGCTACTGTCCAGGTTAAAATCAAATATCTCTGGAAGCCACAGAGTTTAAAGAGTGAAAATTCTTTCTTTTCTAAAAAAAAAAAATTTTTTTCTAAATAACATGTTTATTGTTGAAAAATTGGAAAATTATCAAAGTATAATGAAAAGAAGAAATACAATCCCACTACCTGGGATTCTTTCTTATAGCTTCCCTGTGCAGGACAGGACATTTTGGACATCCGGCTGTTTCCCCACCTCCACAATGAGCATCTGAGGCTTGGCTGCTGCTGCTAATGGATATAATATATCCCAGCAGAAAAGGAAATAGCACCTGAGTCCAACCCACCAACATGTACTTCCCCCGCCCCCATTAAAAGAAGAATTTTTTCTGATGGAGTAGGGTGGCTCTGAACCCAAACTGAAAAAAAAAAAAAAAAAAAAAAAAAAACAACAGAGCAACAGACCAGCTGAAAGAAAAATTAATAAGTGAGGTAGTGTCAAGAATATATAGATAGGGAACATCTAGGTCAATTGGCATAACAAAGTTTAAGAAAATGCTCTGCATCCCACTTTGGTGAGTGGCGTCTGGGGTCTTAAAAGATAGTGAGTGGCCATCTAAGATGCATCAATTGATCCCAACCCACCTGGAGTAAAGGAGAATGAAGAACACCATGGACACAAGGAAAGCATTAGCCCAAAAGACAGAAAGAGCCACATAACCAGAGACTTCATCAGCCTGAGACCAGAAGAACTAGATGGTTCCTGGCGACCACAATGACTGCCCTCACAGGGAACACAACAGACAGTCCCTGAGGGAGCATGAGAAAAGTGGGGTGTACAACTCAAATTCTAGTAAAAAGACCAGACTTAATGGTTTAATTGAGACTGGAGGGACCCTGGAAGACATGGCCCCCGGGCTCTCTGTTAGCCCAAAACTAAAACCATTCCCGAGGCCAACTCTTCAGACAAAGATTAGACTGGACTATGGGACATAACATGATACTCATGAAGAGTGTGCTTCTTGAGTGCGCTCAAGTAGATACATGAGGTTAAATGAGCGGCTCTCGTCCACAGGCGAGATGAGAAGGCAGAGAGGGTCAGGACCTAGTTGAATGAACACTGGAAATCTGGGGTGGAAAGGAAGAGTGTGCTGTCACAATAAAGGGAAAGCAAGTAGAGTCACAAAATAATGTATGTATAAATTTTTGTACGAGAGACTAACTTGAATTGTAAACTTTCACTTAAAGCACAATTAAAAAAAAAAAAGAATATATACAGAATTCCCTCAAGTCATTAAGAAAAAGGCAAAAGATTTTACAGAAAAGGACACACAAATGGCCCATATAAATGAAAAGATACTTATCTTCATTGATAATCAGGGAAATTAAAAATCACCCACCAGACTGGCAAAAATTGAGACGTCTCACAATATCAAGATGTAGAGCAACTGAACTCCTATACATTCATGATGGGGTAAAACTGAAATGATCCTATACTTATATAACTTAAAGAGACTTTTATACCAGTGTATCAGCAGATGTGTACAAAAAGTTCACATTCTTGTTTCTAACAGCAAAAAATTGGAGACAACCCAAAATGTCCTTCAATAATGGAATATTATTACAGCAATGAAAAGAAATGAATTTGAGTGACCAAGATGAATCTTAGAAACATATTTTGAGGGGAAAAAGTAAGTTGAGCACTTACTATAGTCCAGACATTGTTCCATGTGCCTTACATGTATTATTTTATTCAATTCTTACAGCCCTATGAGATAGGTACTATTAATCGCCCCATCTTACACACGAGGAAACTGATTCAGAGAGTTATTAAGCAACTTGCCTATGGTTATAGGGCTAGTAAGTAGTGGCCATGGAGTCCCCGGGTGGTGCAAGCAGTTAGTGTGCACGGCTGCTAACTGAAAGCCTGGAGGTTTGAATCTACCCAGCGGCCCCTTCCCCCACGTGTCTTGTCAATTTGTCATACCGTGGGGGCTTGCATGTTGCTGTGATGCTGGAAGCTATGCCACTGGTATTCAGATACGAGCAGGATCACCCATGGTGGACAGGTTTCAGCTGAGCTTCCAGACTAAGACAGACTAGGAAGAAGGACCCGGCAGTCTACTTCTGAAAAGAACTGCTGGTGAAAACCTTATGAATAGCAATGGAACACTGTCTGATATATTCCCAGAAGACGAGCCCCCCAGGCTGGAAGGCACTCAAAATACGACTGGGGAAGAGTTGCCTCCTCAAAGTAGGGTTGACATTAATGACATGGATGGAGTCAAGTTTTCAGGACCTTCATTTGCTGATGTGGCATGATGCAAAATGAGAAAAAACAGCTGCAAACATCCATTAATAATTGGAACGTGGAATGTATGAAGTATGAATCTAGGGAAACTGGAAATTGTCAAAAATGAAATGGAATGCATAAACATCCATATCCTAGACGTTAGTGAGCTGAAATGGACGGGTATTGGCCATTTTGAATCGGACAATCATATGGTCTACTATGCTGGGAATGACAACTTGAAGAGGAATGGCAATGCCTTCATGATCAAAAAGAACATTTCAAGATCTATTCTAAAGTATAACCCTATCAGTGGTAGGATAATATCCATACGCCTACAAAGAAGGCCAGTTAATATGACTATTATTCAAATTTACGCACCAAGAATGAAGAAATTGAAGATTTTTACCAGCTTCTGCAGTCTGAAATTGATTGAAGATGCAATCAAGATGCATTGATAATTACTGGTGATTGGAATGCATAAGTTGGAAATGAAGAAGAATCTGTAGTTGGAAAATATGGCCTTTATGACAGAAATGATGCTGGAGATCACATGATAGAATTTTGCAAGACCAATGACTTCTTCATTGCAAATACCTTTTTTCACTAACATAAACGGTGACTGTACACGTGGACCTCGCCAGATGGAATACACAGGAATCAAATAGCCTACATTTGTGGAAAGAGACAATGGAAAAGCTCGATATTATCAGTCAGAAGAAGGCCGGGGCCAACTGCGGAACAGACCATCAATTACTCATATTCAAATTCAAGCTGAAACTGAAGAAAACTAGAACTAGTCCATGAGAGCCAAAGTACAACCTTGAGTATCTACCACCTGAATTTAGAGACCATTTCAAGAATAGATTAGACGCGTTGAACACTAATGACCGAAGACCAGACTAGTTGTGGGATGACATCATACATGAAGAAAGCAAGAGGTCATTCAAAAGACAGGAGAGAAAGAAAAGACCTAAATGGATGTCAGAAGAGACTCTGAAACTTGCTCTTGAATATCAAGTAGCTAAAGCAACAGGAAGAAATGATAAAAGTAAAAGAACTGAAGATTTCAAAGAGCGGCTCGAGAAGACAAAGTAAAGTATTATAGTCACATATGCAAAGAGCTGGAGATAGAAAACCAAAAGGGAAGATCATGCTCAGCATTTCTCAAGCTGAAAGAACTGAAGAAAAAATTCAAGCCTCGAGTTGCAATAGTGAAGAATTCTATGGGGGGAAATATTAAATGACGCAGGAAGCATCAAAAGAAGATGGAAGGAATACAGTCATTATACTAAAAAGAATTGGTCGACGTTCAGCCATTTGAAGAGGTAGCACACGATGAGGAACTGACAGTACTGAGGAAAGAAGTCCAAGCTGCACTGAAGGCACTGGTGAAAAACAAGGCTCCAGGAATTGATGGAATATCAATTGAGATGTTTCAACAAACGGATGCAGCACTGGAAGTGCTCACCTGTCTATGCCAAGAAATTTGGAAGACAGTTACCTGGACAACTGACTGGCAGAGATCCATATTTATACCTATTCCCAAGAAAGGTGATCCAACCAAATGTGGAAATTATCGAACAATATCATTAATACCACATGCAAGTAAAATTTTGCTAAAGATCGTTCAAAAGCAGCTGCAGCAGTATATCGACAGGGAACTGCCAGAAATTCAAGCCCAATTCAGAAGAGGACGTGGAACCAGGGATATCATTGCTGATATCGGACAGATCCTGGATGAAAGCAGAAAATACCAGAAAGATGTTTACCTGTATTTTATTGACTGTGCTAAGGCATTCGACTGTGTGGATCATAACAAATTATGGATAACATTGCGAAGAATGGGAATTCCAGAACACTTAATTGTCCTCATGGGGAAGCTGTACATAGATCAAGAGACAGTTGTTCGGACAGAACAAGGGGATACTTCGTGGTTTAAAGTCAGGAAAGGTGTGTCTCAGGGTTGCATCCTTTCACCATACCTATTTAATCTGTATGCTGAGCAAATAATCCAAGAAGCTGGACTATATGAAGAAGCACGGGGCATCAGGATTGGAGGAAGACTCATTAACAACCTGTGTTATGCAGATGACATAACCTTTCTTGCTGAAAGTGAAGGGGACTTAAAGCACTTACTGATGAAGATCAAAGACCGAAGCCTTCAGTATGGATTACACGTCAACATAAAGAACACAAAAATCCTCATAACTGGACCAATAAGCAACATCATGATAAACGGAGAAAAGATTGAAGTTGTCAAGGATTTCATTTTGCTTGGATCCACAATCAACACCCATGGAAGCGGCAGTCAAGAAATCAAAACATGCATTGCATTGGGCAAATCTGCTGCAAAAGACCTCTTTAAAGTGTTGAAAAGCAAAGATGTCATCTTGAGGACTAAGGTGCGCCTGACCCAGGCCATGGTGTTTTCAATCACCTCATATGCAGGCAAAAGCTGGACAATGAATAAGGAAGACCAAAAAAGAATTGACGCCTTTGAATTGTAGTGTTGGCGAAGAATGTTGAATATACCATGGACTGCCAAAAGAATGCACAAATCTGTCTTGGAAGAAGTACAACCAGAATGCTCCTTTGAAGCAAGGATGGTGAAACTACATCTTACATACATTGGGCATGTTGTCAGGAGAGATCAGTCCCTAGAGAAAGACATCCTGCTTGTTAAAGTAGAGGGTCAGCAAAAAAGAGGAAGACCCTCAACGAGATGGACTGACACAGTGGCTGCAACAATGAGCTCAAGCATAACAAGGATTATGAGTATGGTGCAGCACAGGGCAGTGTTTTGTTCTGTTGTTCACAGGGTCGCTATGAGTCGGAATCAACTTGATGGCACCTAACAACAACAACAGAGGCACCTTGGAAGAAAGGCCTGGTGATCAATCTACTCCTAAAAAATCAGCCATTGAAAACGCTATGGAGCACAGTTCTACTCTGATACACATGGGTCACCATGAGTTAGAAATGACTTGATGGCAACTGGTCTGGGCATACCAGGAGCTATGAAAAAGTAGCAGGACAGACCTAGAAAAGGGGGACAATGGCCTCCCTTTGAGTAAAAATAAAAGTCAGTGTTTTAGACAACAGTGACAAGTGACAACAGTTCTTAAATGGGGGGAATATTTTTTTAACCCTTGTTCTGCTTAAAAAAAAAAAATCAAACCCACTGATGTTGAGTTGATTTTGACTCATAGCAACCCTATAGGACAGAGGAGAACTGCTCCATAGGATTTCCAAGGAGCAGCTGGTGGATTTGAACTGCCGACCTTTTGGTCAGCAGCCAAACACTTAACCACTGCGCCCGCCAAACACTTAACCACTGCGCCAGCAGGGCCCCATAGGAACTTATATTACTTTTTAGAAAAAATAAAAACAATACATGGTGGTACTTCATTTATTCATAATTAGCAAGATAAATGAATTGTTCTCCTAACAACTAAATTGTTCAGATCACTAAAGGATACCCTTCTAGCACCAAAATATGTTTAACTATTAGTTAAATACCCATTGCCACTGAGATGATTCCAACTCATAACGACCCTATAGGACAGAGCAGAAGTGCCCCGTAGGGTTTCCAAGGAGTGGCTGGTGGATTGGAACTGCCCACATTTTGGTTAGCAGCCAAGTTCTTAACCATTGCACCAAATGGAGCCCTGGTAGCACAGTGGTTAAGCATTCTACTGCTAACTAAATGTTTAGCACCCTAGAGCTCCAAGGGAGACAATATCTGGCAATCTTCTCTCATAAAGATTATAATCTAGAAAACCCTATGAGGCAGTTCTACTGTGTCACATAGGATTGCTATGAGTCAAAATCGACTTGACAGCACACAACAACACTGGTTAAATATTTCCAATGGAAACACACTTCCCTGCCTTCCTAAGCAGTTTAACCTTTCCTTGATGATCTGAGATCATCTTTATTAATGTCAATGATGGTCCATGCTATGATTCCTTTAGAGATGTCTTCAAGAATTCCTAAAGTAAATGGTGATGCTTGCCCCCATTGTTCAGATTAACAATATACAGACATTTATATGCTCCTTTCCTATATCATCCTCACCTAAAACTCCATTTATCTGGCTAGCCTGAATTCCCTGTGGTCCCCCAAATACACACTGCATTGGTGTTCCTCTGAGTTGTCTTCATCCTGGGTACCAAATCCCACCAACTCTGCATATTGAAAATCTTGCCATTTTCAAGCCCAGCTTAGAATCATCTCATCCACGAAACCATTTTTGATCCCTTCCAGTCAAGAGGAGTATCCCCCTCCTCTGAGACACCTGAGGAGTTGGTCCATTCTCTCATTTATCATTATCCCCTGGCATTTGTTTAATGCTTTGCAATTTCCAGAAAACGTTTGCACACAGAATCCTCAATGATCCTAACAATAGTCTGTTATCATTTTACACAGGAATAAACAGGCTCATAAGAGGCACAATCCCAGACCAGAACTCTTTAAAGTTCCCCCTTCTTCACTTCCAGCACTGCTTGACAATTGACCATCCATGGGTGAATTCTTTTATTAAAGAGTAGATGCCAATCATTCTGACCCTAATGGGAAATGCCCTAACAGTTTCTATTGCTCGTTGAATGCGTAGCATTCTTAACAGCATGGAATACTGTAAATTAAAAAGACTACTTCTGAAGTTCATATCTTAGATGTCATGAAGCAATTCCATCTCAGTACGCTCAAATTCCATTAAAGGAGTGGAGTCATGAGATGAAGTCAATCCTTCACCAGCCTCCAACACCGAGGACTGATTTAAACCAGTAATCCCCGAACCTGGCTCAGCAGCAAAATTGCTGAGGAGTATTCAAACATATGCATGCTTGGCCCAGGTCCAGAGTTCCTGAATCAGAATCTCTAGATATATATTTTTTTGTTTGTTTTGTTTTTCAAAGTTTCCATCATGATTGCAATGATTAGTCAGGCTTAGGAAGATTGGGTTAATCCGTTTATCTGGATGTGTTTTCTATAATTACTAATGAGTAATCTAATTTATATGTTCATAGCAGAAAGGGCAGAACTTTTTCTTAGGAAAAAAATTACAGGCATTTCTTAATTTCATTTGTCGTGCTAACCACTCTGGACTACTTACTGCAACTTAGCCTCTCTGTTCATCTCATGAAACTGGACTGAACAAGAATAGAATCATGGTCAGGTCAGGTACAGAGCAGGTTGGTATCTGAACAGGTGCACAACTAAATATATTTGACTTATTTATTCTTCTTTTCCCTTCCATTAGTTCAGATGATCAAGAGTAGACTCTTGGTGGGAGACTATTTCTAGGCTTGTGAATTTCTTACTCACCGCTGAAACTGTTGTGACTTGGTAACATGGACTTATTCTCTGCCATTTCAGCACTGAAAGCCTACAAGAAGCAAAACAACAGAGAGCCATTAGTGGAGTTTTCATCCCTTGTCATCAAAATCCCTTCCTCTACTGCACACACCACACCTGACCTCACGCTCTCTGTTGGTCCCCATTCTCCCTGCCACAAACCTAAAGCAGCTAATATGGTTTGAATTGTGTTGTAAAAAATGTGTTGTAAATCCTAACCTCAATGTGCAGCCCAGGTGGCACAGTGGGTAAGAGCTCGGCTGCTAACCAAAAGGTCGGCAGTTTGAATCCACCAGCTGCTCCTTGGAAACCCTATGGGGCAGTTCTACTCTGTCCTATAGGGCCACTATGAGTCAGAATCAACTTGATGGCAACGGATTTGGTTTCGGGTTTTATGCCTGTGGTTATAATCTCATTTGGGAATGGGTTGTCTTTGTCATATTAATGAGGTAGCATTAGTGTAGGGTATATTTTGAGTCAATCTCTTCCAAGATATCAAAAGAGCAGATAAGGACAAGAAAAAAAGCAGAGATGGAGGAAAAGAGATGGGGTAACATAGATGCCAAGACACACAGAAATTTCCAAGGAACCAGGAAGCAGAAGCTGAAGAGACAAGAACCTTACTCAAGACCGGACAGAGAGAGAAAGCCTTCCCCTAGAGCCGGCACCATGAATTTGGACTCCTAGCCTCCTAAACTGAGAAAATAAATTCACTTCTTAAAGCCATCCACTTGTGGTATTTCTATTATAGCAGCACTAGATAACTAAGACAGCAGCCATTGGGAAAGTCCTGGGGAACAGCAAGTACACTACCACTGTTAGACCATGTAGGGGAAACAAGTATAGGAAAAATGAAAAGAAAGCCAAAATGTGGCATAAAAATAAGGGAATGTATATTCCAAGGTAAAATATATCTGTTCAACAGCCTTTAATGCCCTGCTTACTACAGGTTAGGCACTGAACTAGGAGCTGTGGATATATCATCAAAGAAGACAAATATAGGCAGATGCTCTTGTAATTAACAATACACAAGTTATTTTAAAAAGTTATACACATACATACCAAACTTTATCCATACATTGAATAAATGATCTGTTGTATATGAGTTAATTTCTGTAAAGTGCTTAGAACTGTGCCTGGTACATGGTAAGCATTTGATGTATGTCAACTATTGTTATAATTATCATTATATGACTGTCTGTAGACAAAGACTTGTGCATATGGCCATGCAGATCGTTTAAGGTAGCATCTATTTGAAATAGCGCATTTCTCCTAGGGCTTGAACCAGCGTCTTCTTTGTTCAAAGTTGATACAACTGGTAGTAACTACTTCATTGAAAGATGCTGAGACAAAGACTAGATTACGCTTTGCATCTGAGCTTAACAAGGACGTTCCCTAACCTGTAGGACATTTTCTTCATAAACTGCATTTGCAGCTGCTATTTCTAGAGCAAAAATTCCTCACCTTTACCATATTCAGTCCCTGGAGGTCACAGTAGGGCACTCCTCTCCCCTTTCCCTCCAAGAACTTGGAAATAAATCAGATAACTTTGTTGTTGTTGTTAGGTGCCCTCTAGTTGACTGTGGATTAATAGTCTAGTAAGAGTTGCTGTGTGCAGTGGATAAAAACCAGCTCAATCCAGAAGCTGCTTCAAAAAAAGTCAGGATGTGTTGCAAGGTTAGAAATCAGTAGGCAAAGCTTTTGAAATGAATGTGAAAGAAAGCAGTAACTTAATCAGTAGGGATAACATAAAGAAAGAATGTGTGGATGAGAAGCAGATGGTCTGCACAGAGTATGGAAACGTGGACCCAGTGGCAAGAATTCGGCAGTGTTTTTCCAGCTCTGTCCAGAAGTGAGCAACACCTGTCCTGAGGGATGTCAGCGGTGTGTTCCTAGGGAAGTGTTCCCTATTCTGGGACACGAAGCCTGGCACAAGGAAGATATACAATAAATACTAGTTGAATAACCAAGCGAATGACTATCCATCACTCTTTATAGACACTCAGCTCCACCCAGGACCCTTACCTTCATGAAACACTGGAGAACACGAGGATTTCAGTCAGCTGGGGAGCTATTTACTCACTGCAAATTCATGAATTGGAAAATCTGAGCGCGTGAATATGAACAGCACTTTATTGGGAATTTGGTGTAGTCGGTCTTCCTAAGTCAGATCAACTCTAGACGTCTGTCAAATCCGTTTTCTGCAATGTAGGGACCTTGCCAGTAACGCCTCTGTGAGGAACTGTGTAAACTGCCTTCTGATCTTTCTGTACAGCGTGTCCCTCATTGCAAGACTCATTTAGGAAGAAAAGACACGCTCATCACAAGGCCAGAGGTGCACATATGCATGCAGTATCTCCTTGTGAACACAATTTAATTTTAAGGTTGAAGAGAGTCTGAGGTATATAGTGTATAATGTAAAGTCCTCTGTAAGACAGTTCTCTCTTTTGAGTTACAAAGCTGAAAGATGTATTATCTCTCAAAAGCACAGGATTTGGGTAGACAGACTCAGGTTGGAATCATGGTTTAATCACGATGTCTTAGTTATCTAGTGCTAGTGTAACAGAAATACCACAAGTGTATGGCTTTAACAAACAGAAATTTATTTTCTCACAGTTTAGGAGGCTACAAGTCTGAATTCAGAGCGCTTCAGCTTCTGCTTCCTGGTTCCTTGGAGATCTCCATGTGTCTTGGCATCTATCTTACTCCATCTCTCCTCTGCTCATTTGTTTAATCTCTTTTATATCTCAATCAAAAGAGATTGACTCAAAATACACCCTACACCAGTCCTGCCTCATTAATATGACAAAGACAACCCATTCCCGAATGGGATTATAACGACAGGCATAGAGGCTAGGATTTACAACACGTATTTTAGGGGACATAATTCTATCCATAACACTTGACCACTTGTGTGCACATGAACATCTGGGTTAATATGTGTTTTAATTTGGAGTCGGGGACAACAGTGGCTTCATCATGGGATTGAGAACAGCTTCTTCTTTATACAGTGCCTGGCAGACCCAATACATGGCAGCTATTCTAAGTAATGTCATCTCTTAGCCCTCAGAGTTGTGCTAAAGGGGATTGTGTTATTTGCATCCCCTCCCCCTCCCCAAATCCCCCAATCATCCTGATGGCTTTGGCTCCCTCTAGGGATAATTTAGGTGTTTTTCATGGATGTGAACGAATGCTTAACTTTGAAACTACACCAGAATTTGCAATATTGGTGGCTTGGCATCCTTTAAATATTTTCAAGTTCCTAATGTTGTTGGCAACAAATACAATAAAATTTCAGTTAAAGGGATAGGTTATGCAATGAGGATGTTTCTATTTAATTTTAAATTGGCATATTAATAACTTCTCAAATAAATACTCACTTCCTGGGGCCTGCAGCCTGAGGTCCCCTCAGTCTTCTCTTTAATGATCTTGCAGGCAAACTATATCCTTACAAATGGTATTTTTTCACTTATGATTAAGTTTCTACGATTGTGGCCACAGGAGAGTCTTAAAAGTGACATCACTGACCAGGGGGTGAGGAGAACACACATATATATCCTTATATTCTTTCTCTCCCTCCATTGCAATCCCTGCTCCCTGCTGCCTCCAACACTTGTTGGTCAGTAATTTGCTGCACACCTAGATGCAGGCCCAGACCAGGTGCTGGAGCTACAGACATAAATAAACCATGGTCCTTGTCCTAGGGGTGCTCTCTGCCTAGACTAGCCCCCATATACCTAGGCTCACTGTTACCCTGACTCCCTCCTCTCCCTCCAGGGCCCTCACCTTTGTGCCCAATGAACCCTGGCTGAAGGCTTTTACATTTTGTATTCTCCACAGGCCCCAGCACAGAGCTGTACTCTCAGAATATGAGTTAAAACCCTACCTGGGTCTCCTGGCTCCAGTCAAGCCTACTTATTTGGTATTTGCCAATCTCTCTTTGTCTCTCTGATCAAGTCATTCTAACCATCCCAAAGGCCTCCCTCCTGCCAATTCATACTCATCACAAATTGAGATCAGATTAAACACTCACATCCTTAGAAGATCAACCATTGGCTAATCTTAACAAGACTGATTAAATCTGCCCCCCCCCCCGCCCCCACACACTTTACTGAGATTACTGATATCCGGTTACTTCTGGCAATCAGGTTGTAGAGCAGTTTCTGCAGGCTTCAGTGGTTACAAGTTCGGCTGTTAACCAAAAGGTCAGCAGTTCAAATCTAACTGGTGCTCCTTGGAAACCCTATGGGGCAGTTCTACTCTGTCCTACAGGGTCGCTATGTGTCAGAATTGACCGCAATGGGTTTGATGTTTGGAGTTTTTTTGCAGTTTGGGTCAGACTTTTTATAGTTAATGATTCATTTTGTGGATAAGAAAAATCAGAGTAAGAGGTCTATTATTTAATTTTCCTATTCAACACACTTAACACATCAATTATGTCAGTTTTGTGGGCAGGGAGGAGGGGGAGCACCATTCCTTTTGTGTGTGTGACCAAGCTACCACCGACTTTGGTTGAAATCCTGGTTTTATTTTATTAAATGTATTTTTATTTCCATGTGTTGATAAAGTATCATTTCTAATATAACACTGTTAAATATATACACTAACTGGAAAAAAAAACCCTCGCATCCTCTGAAGTAATCCTTCTTGGTCCACTAGACACCACTGTTGTAATAAATTTACATACAGTTAAATACTATGAATTCATTTTGTATTGACTTTTTTTTTTTTTTTTTTACTATTTATAAGTTGTTTCCAAAATGTGTGAATGGTTTGTCTCCACAATTAGATTTTGCAAATAGTTTTTTTTACGTAAAAAGAGTACACAGTACATTTTAAGTTTCTTGGGCACCATGGTTAAGCGCTTTGCCACTAACCACAAGGTCGGGCATTAAAACCTATCAGATGCTACATGGGAGAAAGATATGGCTGTCTGCTTCCATAAAGATTACAGCCTTGGAAACCCTATGGGACAGACTATGAATGGGAATCAACTCGACAGCAATGGGTTTGGTTTCTTTTTTGCTTGTTTTAGGATCAAAGATTGTTCTGTTTCCTCAAGATGTCTAAAAATAATAGCAATAACAATAATTACAGATACTTATATGTGTCAAACACTATTCTATGCACTTTGTATGTATTGATTCTGTTAGTCTCACAACAGACCTAAGACAGTATTATCCTCATTTTATAGATGAGGAAACTGAGGTTCAAAAGGTAACCTGTTTGAGATCACCAAGTTAGTAAATGGCAGAGCTAGGATTCAACTCCATATGAGCTGGCTCTGAAGTCCACACAATTAACCTCATTAAGACGCATTCTATAAGTGTTGGAAATAGTATATACTCAAAAAGTACTTAATTAGTAACTAACAGTTTGGGGATCCCCTTTGGTAGTACAAGAGGATGGAAAGAAAGATTTACTTTCTGCAGTTCAGTGTGGTCCTTGACAGTCTGGAGAGTCAGGTTATTCATGACCATGGTATCTGTTATGGATTGAATTGTGTCCACCAAAAATATGTGTTGTAAATCCTAACCTCTATGCCTGTAGTTACAATCTCATTTGGGAATGGGTTGCCTTTGTTATCTTAATTAGGCAGGATTAGTGTAGGATGTGTCTTGAGTCAATCTCTTTTGATATATAAAAGAGATTAAACAAGCAAGTGAGCAATCAGAGATGGGGGAAGACTGATGCCAAGTCACATGGGTATCTCCAAGGAACCACAATACAAGCTGAAGAGACAAGGACCTTCCCCCAGAGCCGACATAGAAAGAAAGCCTTCCTTCCCCTAGAGCCAGCACCCTCAGTTTGACTTCTAGCCTCCTAAACTGTGAGAAAATAAATTTCTGTTGGTTAAAGTCACCCACTTGTGGTATTTCTGTTATAGCGGCACTAGATAACTAGGACAGTATCTAAAGGAGGGGCAGCTTCTTGACTTACCAAGGATTCCAGCTGGTTCCTCCCGAGGATGTTTTCTGAAGCAGTTTTAAAGGCAGCAACAGTAGGGTCCTCATTGCTCACCAGGTGAATTTCTTTCAAATTACCAACCACCTGCTTCTTTATGAAGTATAACTTGATAGTGCTCACAATGATCCGTGTACACAAATCCAGAGGAAACTGGAAGATCCCAGAGCTTAGGGCTGGAATTGCGACTGCCTTAATGTCCAGGTTTGTACAGTTGACATACTCTAGAATATTTATAATGGCCATTTTCAACTCTTCAACACATCTCTGTCCATCCCTCGCTATCCACTGAGGCCCAACAGCATGGATGATCTCTTTGCAGGGAAGCCTGCCTGCTCTCGTGATGGCTATCCTACTAGTTGGTACTTTACCATATCTGCCAATAAAGCGTCTGCTATCCTCTTCGATTTCAGGGCCACCAGCTTTCACCAGGGCCAGGGCCAGGCCTCCCATATGTTGGAGGTGTTCATTGGCTGCATTCACCACAGCATCAACAACATGTCTGGTGAGGTCATCCTTCCAGACCGATAGTGCTACCTGAGAAGTCAGCATTTTTCGGAAGACTTGCAGAGACTTGATGTGACCTTCCAGGGCTGGAGAGACCACAGTAGAGATACAATCAAACTTATCCTGGAGGATTTCACACAGCTGACTCTCATGATTTTTAAATATTTTGAAGTCATTGTCAGTAACGGAAATTTGCCAACTATAGTTTTCATTGAGAGTGTCAATTCCTGGAAAAGGAGAGAAGATAAAAAATAAAGAAATGAGCAAGGATGTAATTCCACTTCACACTAGAAGACTGACTTTCCTATTTGCAGAAGAGAGATTAACTTCCTCTAGTACCCTTCGTGATTCTTCTAGACATATAACTAGACCAGAGATACCCAAGAGTTTTCAATGGTAGGTCCCCTGTAAAGTGCTTAGTCTTTTGCCTGGTGTGTAGTACCAAACCCATTGCCATCAAGTTGATTCCAACTCACAGCGACCCTATGGGACAGAGTAGAACTGCCCTATAGGGTTTCCAAGGAACGGCTGGAGGATTCGAACTGCCAGCCTTTTGGTTAGCAGCTGCACTCTTAACCACTGCACCACCAGGGCTCCAGCATGTAGTAAGTACTCAATAAATGGTAGTTACTATGACACAATGATGGTGATGAGAAACCTGTGTTTATAGGGGAGGCTGATGCATTTTTTAAATCTATGTAAAAATGGCGAGTTTGGGAGGACCCATGCTTAAGGAACAAGTATTAGAAAGAATTTAATTTTAAGTCAAAAATATATGGAGAGTTTATTCATAACTCTTTTGATTTTTCAGTGTCAGTGCTTGGATTCTCCTAGAAGCGGATCCTGCGACATGCGTTTGAGTGGAGTAGTTTATTTGGGAAATCAGTTGCCATTGAGTCAAAAAACACCAGGTGGAGTGGAATGCGGTGGAATGGGAAACGAAGACAGGGAAAGAAAAGTAATAAATAAAGAGTGTGTTACTGACTACTAATGGAAAGGTTGGAGGTTTGAGCCCACCTAGAGATACCTCTTAAGAAAGGTCTGGCAATCCACTTCCAAAAAATCAGCCATTGAAAATCCTTTGGAGCACAGTTCTACTCTGACATATATGGAGTTGCCATGAATGACTGACTTGACAAACTGGAAGTAAACGGACCTTAACTCCACTGAGGAACCTTAGGAGCTAGTGTAGATCATTTGTCTCAGAGAGCTTTACCACCACAGGGGTAAAACGAACAAAAAAACCAAACTCACTGCCGTTGAGTCGATTCTGACTCATAGAGACCCTATAGGACAGAGTAGAACTACCCCATAGGGTTTCCAAGGAGAGCCTGGTGGATTTCAATTGCTGATCTTTTGGTTAGCCACTGAGCTCTTAACCACTGTGCCACGGGGCTCCAAAGCGGTAAAGGAGATGGGGTATTTATCCAACTTCTATCAGTCACTGGTTGAGGGCTGCTCCTGGGAGCACCGAGCCAGCAAATGGGGGAGCACTGGCAGGGACTGCTACCGTGAATAATTCTTCCTACTACTCTAGCACAATTTTAATGGGATTAAAACTGATTGAGTAAAAGTAATTACTGTCTGTGGCAGACAAGATGTGCTGCTCAGATCTGCCTTCACTTTGGTGATGAAGGGGGAAAGATGGTTATCTGACGGCCTCCAGCTCTCAGGACCCTCCTAACAGCTTTTGATCGATCCAACGTCCCACTATTATCCGGGTGGCCCCCATCAGTGCCTAAGAAAGGCCATTAATGCCCAACATGGGAGTCCTCTGATGAGCAGTCCTGGGATGGTAGGAACTTTGTCAGGCTTCCATTGCATGTGATGTCTGTGCCTGTCCAGCCCTGCTTCCTCCCTTCTCCTTTCACAATAAACCTTTGCACTCCTAACTCTGTCTCAGCTTCTACTTCCTGGAGAACCCAGCCTGTGACACTGTATTTCACGGAGTCCGAGATATCGTTATTATCTGCCACTGGAAAAGGAGAAATGATGCTAATTAAACCATGGCACACCATTGATTGATAGGGGGTAGTTTTATTTCAGAGATGTTAAAATGTGAAAAAATGTGCATCCTTAAATAGATGAAATGTGGAAATTAGTTACATTTTATTTGAACTACCTTTTCTAATTTGAGCCGCGTAAGAAAAGCTCTGGTGGCCTCAATTACCCAGTGGAAAAAGCAAGCTAGTAGACAGATCTTACTGGCCTGACCTTTGGTTGAAAATCTCAGTGGATCACCTCATAGGATCAGGCAGGTTCCCTTTGACACTAATAGTTGAGCAAGGGGACTATAAGTGGGTCACCACGCCTGGACAATTTCAGCTATACAGCTATTGTCAGAAGAGTCCCACATACTGAGCTGAAAAGAAAGGATCAGAGGGGACCCTAAGAGAACATGCCTACTGGTGCCCCAGTGCTTCTGAAGCAGTCCCCTTTCTGAAGCATGTGCTGGGGTCTCCAGAGTTCCTGCAATAACGCACCTGAGCACTTGTGGGGGAGACATTCACCTTCTGTATTCCCCTTTTTCCACTGGGGCAAGATCTGAGCAAAGCTTTTCTGAAACAAGAGTGAGAGTGAGGCGATCCTACCTGGCTTCTCATCAGAAGCTGCTGCTCCAGCACCCTGTGAGAAATGAGAATGGTTTAAAAAAAGAACTGAAACCAAATGACTGCAGATTACTGTAACAAAATAGCATAATAAACAAAAACAACAGAAACCCTGCTAAAAGCACTAGGTTGGGGCAAAGGTGCTTTTGCATTTGTGTATCTGAAACCTTTGAAATACTAAATATTACAGCACACACTGACCCCGCCCCACTTCCCTAGGACCCGAAGCACTTTGATTCAGGATGAGGTGAAGGGCTGCAGTTTAACAATGTCCAAAGGTCACAGAACAAAGTGATCCAAAGACTGGTGGCCGAGACTGACCTCCAATCTCCAAAGCCCTGGAGAGTGTCTCTAGACAGAGGCCATGAGGACACGGACCTCATCACCTACCCCTACCATCCACCAGTAAGGATCCACTCTCAATTGCCTATTTCATGGCACAAGCTTTAATGTGGAACTTTCAGGTTTAACAATCGAGGTGCTTCTTCTCTAGTCCCTTGTTTTTATTCCTCCCCTTCACGCTCCTTCTCCATCCTGCAGAAGCCAAATTTGTGAATGAGTGGACAGAATCAACAGGATACTGAGATGATTTTTAAAAAATGACCCATCCTCATGTTGACACTGGTGATTAGATTAGCATATTCCTGATTTACTATTTCCCACATGGTGCAACTGAAAAACAGCATGGAGGAAACTTCTGTTGGGCTATTAAGCCCAAAGGAGAATGCCAGGTGTAACCGAAACTGTCATATTTCTTGCTGTTATAGGAAGAACTATTCATGTGTTGATTCAGGTTTATGATTTATATACCTTTATGCTTTTTACCTTGGAAGAGTTCATCCTCCAGGTTCCGAGGGTCTTTCAATGTCTGTACTTCCTTTTGCGTTTCACAGTGTAGACCGATGTTCCCAGATATGGTAGCGCACTTCTAGGAATGAACAGAAGGGATGCAATAAGCAGCATGTAAGGGAATTTGGTAGGAATATACTGACAGAAGATTGAACATTTCTGATCTCTAACAGTTCTCAGTTTCACTGGTGAAGATTCACACATTGTTTTGCTATTATCACTGCTGTTTACCCTTTATCTTCTACACGAGAGGTTTCCGTTGAAATCATTATGGCAGCTCAGAGGAGGGAAAGAGCTTATGGGATGGAGCAGGGAAAGCTTCATGGAGAAGGCGAGCCTAGAGCCAGGCTTTGAAGGCTGGAGCAGACTTTTACATATTTAGTAGAGGACGAAAAGACAGTGGTGAGACTGAGCACAGTGTTCGAAGAACAGTGAGGAACCAGGCTCACGAGTGAATGAAGACCACCGGAGGGTGTCTGAAGAAACAGCAAACTGGACCTGCGCCTGTGAGGAGTCTACATGACTGAGTTTGTGAGAAATAACCTTCACCAAATTAGAAAAGTGAATATTTGGTAAAAATCAAACACCAGAAAAAGTTATATTTTAATGATTTTCCATACAACAGGTAGGAATTAAAGAGTGTGACTGTTCAGAAGAATGATGATGAGAATACTTAAAGGTACAGTTGCCCACACATATTGCTATCTTTAGGCCTCTGAAATGATTTCTAATGTCTTTCCAATAGAAACATTTTGTAAAACTATCCACAGCATCCAAACCTGCTGCTGTCGAGTCAATTCTGACACATAGCGACCCTGCAGGACAGAGTAGAACCACCCCGTAGGGTTGCCAAGGGTGTAATCTTTGCTACATCTTTCTCCCGTGGAGCAGCTGGTGGGTTCGAACCACCAACTTTTCATATAGCAGCCGAGAGCCTGAACCACTGTGCCACGAGGTCTCCATGGGAGCACATTATTCTTAGTTGTTCAGGAAAAGCAGGAGGTCCAGTACAATCCTAAAATGCAAAGATAAGAGGCATTTTTGCCTCCAGAGGGCACTGCTGCTTTCACCAAAGAAGGAAGACTTCTGTGTCTACTTTGGCTGTGGGTATCTGGTGGACTTTGCTTTAGATGTAGTTGCACTTGTTTCTATCTTCAGATCAGGCTCAAAAGCCCAGGAATACACTGGGCAGTGGTAGTGGCACCCATTTAACCCAAAGAAATTAGAAACAAAAGGTATATAGCCCAAGACACTCAATATGGTGGCCCACCTGTAGGAATGAATAGAAAGGATGCAATAAGCAACAAGATAGGGAATTTTAAAAGCAAAAACGGTAACAACAGAAACCTTCACAACTTCCCATCACTGCTTCCTACACTGTTTCCTTCTCTTTACAGGCAGCCACATTTCTACAGAGAGTAGTTGACTCTCCTCCTGTCCCCCTGCCCACTCGGCCCACTCTAGTCTGGCTCCCCAATTCACCCCAGCACTCCTCTGAAGGGCTCATCAGTGACCTCCAGGTGGTTAACCCCAATGGACTATCTGGTATCCTATTCTTCACAGCCCCCTGTCTATAGTGTTTCATTCCTTGACTCCTGAACTGTGCTTTCTTGGCTTCTGCTATGCCATCCTTCCTTGGCTCTCCTGCTACCTCTCACTTTGCATTTACAGACCCTTCTCCTGGATTCCTTTCCATTGTCCAAGCTTTATCCTTTGCTGCAGGATTCTGCTTGATATGCACTTCTCATCTTATTCTATGAACTCTCCAGGGGTGAGCTCATCCACTCCCATGGCTTCAGCTCTCCAACTGTAAACACGACTCCCATATCTGTATCTCAGGCTATGGCTCTCCTGAGCCTGACATTTCAACTTCACTGGATACCACACAGACCCCTTAAACTCAGCCTCTGCAAAACTGAACCCACTGTCCCCTCATCTCCACTTCTCCACACCCCAAAATCATGCTCTGTCTCCTGGATTTTACAATTCAGTGAATGATATACCACTTACCCACTCAAGTCAGATACCTAGGAACTGTCCTTGAATCTTCTCTTTTGTCCTGTATACAACTAGTCATTGGGTCCTGACCACTTAAATCACTTTCAAATATGGCCCTAACATCTTGCTCTCTCAGGGTCTGAGCACCTCATGCCTAGGTGATGGCAATAGATTCTTCTTAAAGCTTTAAATGTATCAGATTTTACATTTTATTGTTTGATTAGTATGACATTTACATGATTCAGATTCAGAAGGTGAAAAGGCACCCTCAGACCCTACTCCCAACCATCTCACTAAATTCTCCTCCCAGTTTCTTCTGTATCCTTCCAGAAGTATATTTTACACACAAAAGGTAGCATCTTATATACTCTCTTCTGATCTTTCTTTACCCACTTAACATATCCTAGAGATCTTTCTATATTAGCACATAGCTTCCTCATTCTTCCTACCACTCATTGTATTCCATTGTATAGATACGCTAGAAATTATTGAACTCTTAGTCATCTACTTGTGGTCATTTAGGGGGCACCCAAACTTTTGCTATTATAAACAAGGCTGTAAAGGACAACCTTGTACATAGGTCATTTCACCTGGGTACTAACATATTGGTGGGGCAAATTCCTAGAATTAGAACTGCAGAACCATATGGTGCATGCAGTTATAATTCTGACAGTACTGCCAAATTGCCCTCCATAAAGACTGACCAATTTCCAGTCTTACAGCAATATGCACAAACCTTACCTCTCCCCCTCTGCCTCTAGTCATACCTGCTTGGAAATGGGTCCTCCACATTTTTGTCAGCACCGTCTTTCTAAGATGTAAAGCTGGCCTGTCACTCTTCTAAAATGTAACTCTGGAATGTCATGCTCCTGCTTCCCCTGCTCAACACCCTTCAATTTCTCCCCACTGATCTTAAGACCTTTCCCCATCTCCACCTGTGCTGTCCAGTGTGGGCCACTAGGCACGTGTAGCTACTGAGCATTGGAATGTGGCTGGTCCAAACTCAGATGTGATCTGTCAGATTCACACTGGATTGCAAAGACTTAGGATGACAAACAGAAGGGAAAATATTTCATTGATGAGTTTTTAACATTGATTACATGTTGAAATGAATACATTTTCGATTTACAGAGTTAAATAACACATAACTAAAATTATTTTCACCTGTTTCTTAATACTTTTTAAAATATAGCTAGTAAGACATTTTAAATTACATATGCGGTTGGCATTTGCAGCTCCTGTTATATTTGTATTGGGCTGTGCTCATCTAGATCCTTCCTCCCTGTCCCATCTCATCTGCTCCCAGCCCTCAGTGCTCCCTCTGTGCCTCAGACCACAGTGGCCCTTATGCCTCAGGTGCCCCCTGCCTGCTCCACACCCCTCACCCTCCCTACCTCACCCCCAACTCTCTTATGAAGATTCTGCTTGAAGCTTCCTCTTGGAGGTCTCCCAGAGATTCTAATTCTTTATTCAGAAGTCGGCCTCCCTTTGCAGGCCCTTGAGGTCAGGGCCTCCTCTCTCATCCTTATCCCTAGTACACACAGCAGCAAGCAGTTCAGTCCTGTTGGCCAAAGGAAGACAGGAGGACAGAAAAGCCCCAAGAGTCAGGTAAAGGATAAACCTGGAGGGAAGTAACAGATAACATGTCATAAAAGCAGGTTAACAAATGTAAATTAAAAAAAAAAATCTGATACTTTTTTTAACCTGAATTCAGAGTGTAAACTATACTTTAGCAGCAAACAATAGTAATAAGAACAAGACTTGAAAGGAATTACAAACACAGGAGAAACTTACTTTCTTCGACTTGGGCATCTGACCAGTGTACATCTTGGCACTGGGACCCCGGCTCTTGCCCACCTCCCGCCCAAGCCTGCAGGACAAGAGACCCCAGAGTCGCAAGAAACCGGCTCCTTCCAGCTCCCAACGACCCCAGGACCTACTCACCTGGCGGAAGAACACAGTCACATCGGCGACAACAAAAGGACGAGGGAGAAGAGGCTCTGCCGGGAACAGGGAGGGGTCTCTGGGAAACGAAAGTGAAACTTTGAGGCCCAAGTCCGCGGGGCGGGACACGCCCTCGCCTCAGTCCGGCCCCATCCGCGTCCCGGAGCCCCGCGCAGGCCGCCCGCAGAGCCATGGCCTCGGAGGCTTGCCCACCGTCCCCGCTCCTCGTGCGGGTGTCTGAGTCCGGGCCCAGGCTGCGCAGGAAGCTGGAGAGCTACTTCCAGAGCCGACGCTCGGGCGGGGGGGAGTGCACCGTGCGGGCCGTGGGCGACAGTGCCCCGGACACCTTCCGGGTGGAGTTCAGAGAAAGGGCAGGTGAGCTGCGGGCAGCAGGCGTGCGCGCCCAGGCTGGGGGTGCAAGGCTGTCCTGGGCCAGCCCCGCGGATTTCCAGGTAGAACCAGTTCACGCTGACCCAGGACACAGGGCGGGAGAAAGGATGGTACTGTCTGTGGGGGACATGAACTGGGGGCTTTAGCTGCCAAGAGTTTAAGCCCGACAGCCTAGGAGAGATACCCAGTCTAGGATCTCGTTTGACCACCCCTTAAGGTCGGTGCTTGCCAATATTCTCATCCCCACTCTCTTCTCAGCTGTGCTAGGAAGCCACTTCCTGCCCATGGATGCCTCTCAGTAGCTGTTCTTGTCGTTCAGGCATTCCACTTAAAAGTGGAATGCATTAAATAGACAATAGATAAGTGGTATCTTGGGTGAAGGGTGAGGCAGTACACAATACAGGAGAAACTAGCACAACTTGTACAAGGAAAGGTCACGGAAGCCCCATAGACACATCCAAACTCCCTGAGGGACTGAATTGCTGGGCGGAGGGCTGTGGGGACCATGGTCTCAGGGAACATCTAGCTCAATTG